ATATATATATATATATATATATATATATATATATATATATATATCAATCAGAGTCAATCCATGAAAATTGGTTCCAGAGGATGGTTAGGGTATTTTTTTGTCATTTTCAAATATGTTGTATTTAAATCACAAGGATTTGCAGGTAAAATCTGATCTGAAATTCTTTAGTATTTGTCCAACTGTTCACCTATCAAAGCCAATCTAGGGAAAACTGACCAGTACTAATCTCTAGTTGACTCTTAGGTTCAAATATTATCAAGTTCTTCTATCTGAAAAATGATTTGATTAAACTGTTTGAATTTATAAAGTTTTATCTGCTTGCACACATCAGAGTCAATCAATGAAGATTGGTTGATTCCACTCACTGACTGACTGAATGGTGTATAATCAGTATTCCAGTTGGGGGGGATGAAGGGGAATGGCATCCCTTCTTAAAAAAATCTTAAAAAGCACCTTCTTAAATGACAATCCCGTGTGACAGTTTATTACTGAATGTGTAAAATGTTACTATATATTGACAGTAATTTTAATAGTATTGCCCTTTCAACATTATGCTGGCTGTGGGCTTACGAGTGTTGTCTTACCTGTATTTGTCCCTAACTATGTAGGGGCAGTGATAGCCATGTCAGTTAAGGGACTGACTGCAGTTCTACTGTAAGGTGCCTTGGTCAAGGTCAATGACCGGCGTTCCTAACATGTAACAACCATACCATGCATATTGCTTTAGGTTAATAGACTATATTAATTAGGCTTTGTATGCCTCTAAAAAAAAAAAAAAAATTCCACCGTCCCTCTTCTTCTTTTTTTTTTTTTTACAACTAGACTACTGTGTATAATTCCACAACCCAAAAAAATAATTCATGCATCTTTTGCATCTACTTAAGCGTATTTAGTGCCTTTAACACAGCTGTTTAATGCTAGCAAGGTAGAACATTAAAAAATGTGTTAAAGTAACAAAAAATTCTTAAGTAGATACAAAAGATGCATTAATAATTTTTTCCAGTGCACCCATGCTTTATTAAATTACCAATTGTCACGTAATAGATAATAAAAAGCATGCTTACGACTATCTTTCCTCCCATTTCTGCTGTTTGCTTTAGTATTGACCTGGTAATAAATGTCTTGTCTTCTTTTTTAGGAAACATGCACTCAATTGCCATCGAATGAAACCTGCTCTCTTCAATGTCTTGTGTGAAATAAAGGAGAAAACAGGTAAGGACTCACAGCCGAGAATGTTTTGGCTGCAATAGCACCCTCTTTGTGTCTAACCATGACTTTCTTTCCTCATAATTGCGTTCAGGGTTTATTCAGGGCACACACACACACATACACACACATCTACACACATC